GTGACGGAACATTCTCGATCTAAGCTGACATGATGCGAGCCCGTCGGCGCAGTCGCTGGAGATGACCAACTCGGAATTCGACGGCGAAGTTATTCTAAACTTCTGGAATGGAGGCATGCGCCAAAGTAAACGATATCGCGAGACCTGAGCCGCACATCCACTGGGATTACAAGCAAACATCTTATTTGCAGAAGACAGATAACCGCCTGGGTGACTGGGCAAACTGAGTGGACATTTCTGGCGCACTAGTACTCACCAGTCTACGGTGCTGAGACCCTCAATTAGTAGGGAAAGTCCAATAGCTTAAGCGGATAAAAGTTTGCATGGTGCTCGATGACCCCACGAATCCAGCCTCGGACACCTGGGGCCGTTATGAGGGCCATACATCACTGGTTCATGTCGCTTAATAACTCCGAAATGACCATAAGGAGTCGCTCATCTCCGCGGACAACACTTTTTAACCGCTGACTGCTACTTACCGACGATGACATGACAAGTAGGATAGTGCGGTAGACGCTGTGCAAGCCCACTACAACTATACACGCACAAATCAGCCCGCCCGCTCTCACCCTGCTGTGGATCACGCAGCGAACATCGTTGGCAACAACGGTCGAACTGACACGCCTCAGAGGCTCCAAGACAGAGCAGAAGTGCTCATTCCCGTCCTACAATCAGCACGAATCGGTGCATGCCATCGTTGTCACAGTAAAAACCCCCCAGCTCGGCTGACATGACGTGATCCTGCTTGTGCAGTGGGGAGACCGTTACCTCCTGATCAACTGACTCGGGCTTTAAACTGGGGGCGTGCAGTCCGGACGGACGGCGTCAAATATGCCAGAAGTGGCCACTGCAGTATTCCTGCCTGCCGAAAACATCAAGTATTGGCCAATGACCGCCCGAGTGGAGGGGGGGGGGACTGTACACTCCCAGTAGCTCCAAGGCAAAGCGAAAACGCTCACCTCCGTCTTGCAGCCGGGGTAAATCGCCGCACGCCATCTCCTGTAGGAGCCACAAAAACCAGCAAACTCGTAAAATTCATGAAAATATCTGTGTATAATACGGTTTGTTTACAAAAGAAGGGAAGGGGCGCAGTCGGAGCCTGGCACCGAGAAAGAGGAAAGTGACCGAAGATGGGATTCTTGTATTGGCTGGTGATGACGTAGCAGAAAGGCGGCAGTGTTGGCTGGCGGGACCTAGTATATCACGGAAAAACGGTTAACGATGGAGGTCTGCAAGCTCTTGAGTCTACTGGAGAGTTTATCCAATGCCTGGTAGCGCGCCTCGTAGACGGGTTCGCTGCTGAGGATGAGCATCTGATTGGCCTGATCGATCCGACCCTGAACCACGTTGTCAAGGATGCAGGCCACAAGCAGGGACTCCACCTCCCTCTCTTCCAGATTCAACTGCTTCGAGATAAAAGGGATGCGAATTCGAGTGTAGGGCCGGATAAGCTTGATGAGAACCTCCGTACGAATGTTGAAGAGCAGAGCCTCAATGTGCTCACGCAGGAAGGCGTCCTCCATGATGACAGCGCGCTGTTCGCGCAGAATTTTCTCAAACTCATTGATGTCGTTCTCCTGGTAGGCAGTGACCAAACTTGTAACAGCCATGATCTGGGAGTCATCCTTGTAGGGCTTTGTCTCCTATAAAACAAACCGAAAAATGACGATAAGCCAATGTGGAGGCTCGAAGATCTCGAAGACTCTCTGATCTTTATGCACCGGTTAGGAGTATCGCCGTGGCATAGGCAGTAACATAACTGTACGAGGAAGGAGGGAATTCGAAGGCCTATGTCAATCCTGGTACAGTTGCTATGGTAATTCGAGTCACAGTTGACCTCCTCTTCGCCTGAATCATGGCCGCAGTGCGGGCCCTATAGACGGCAGTGGTTTGTATAGGTTATGCAAACCTGTATGATATGTCACCTATCACATCAGCGCCAGATAAAAGTGAGGTAGTTATCTGTACCAACTTTTCCTTTAGAGCAAACTTCTTATAGTCTGTAAGGCATTAAGCATCAAGTATTTTAGATTTTGCAGACTACTGGGATGATTTTAGTATAACCAGAACAACACTCAAAAGTAATTGACAGCTTTTGACTTTTAATGTAAAAACGGCCCAGTCGAGCCTATAAGTATGTTTATGTCTCGACTGAACGATATGCGAAAATTAGACGTAGGCGGCAGCATCTATGTCACCTGGCATCATCGGTATACCACTTGTATGGATGCAATAATCCGCAGCCAATATGCGGCTGGGTCAGAAGGGCCGGCGTCAATAGTACGTATAGCGCAGCCGGTGAATCACGCAAATGGCTACCGAAGACCTGCCAAAACCTATTTCCTGTCCACGCTGACCCCTTCCTTCCCGCGTAATGACGCGCGCAATAGGATCGACCTATCAGACGCGAGCGCGAATGGCCTATTTTAACCATGTATTTCTCATTTGGCCTGCCTCCGATGATGTGCTCGAGTACGAGTACAAAACGTCAGATGATTAAATCTTTCCTCCCAAAAGTCTGACGACGAGCTGGGGATCCAGACTCGAAAATTTACTCATTAAAGTTTATTCCCTTCCCAAAGAATCTTACTTATTTTCAATTAAATTTCTTGGGATGCCCGTTTTCCAGCACATATATATGTAGTAGATCAGAGGTGGTATGCATTCCGGGCCGATATAATGAAAACAGGAAGAGGTTCTTCGGAAAAATCGAGTTGTACTCGAGTACAACTCGTGAACTTTACAAGCCACATTCGTAAATGCAGATACATGATGTTTCATGAACGGCCATTTAACGGTATTAAAAAATCTTTTTTAAAACCGAATTATACTCTTCTTTTGAGTATGAAATTGGAAGAAGACGTGATTTTCTACCAAATAAGTAAAATAATGAATATTTTTATGCATGTTTTCCATGAAATATAATTGAATTTTCAAGGGCATCGAAAATCAATGATAAAATTGCATACTACTAAAGTAGTCATTTTTACACAGTATAGATCTTGCATGCAGCCGAAAATAAGTTCTTTCGAAAGCCGACACCCTGAGATAACTGGATCATTATAGATTTATGCTGCATCATGATTAGTTTTACAACACTACTTAATTTATATTTTCGAAACGAGAACGCATTTCGAAATTTTGGTTGCCATTTCATGAGTAAGCGCATCTACTGCATATATATTCTTGAAGGCATACAACGGCGTGCTACAAAGATTGTTCCTGAATAAAAAAGTCGACGTACGAACAGCTCCTGGCCGCCTTAAACCTCTATTTCTTTCACTATAGACAAGACAAAGGTGGTCTTATACTAACGTTTCAGTTGCTACGGGGACTCGATCTTGATGTGGATTGGGAAAATCTTTTCGAAATGGGACCGAAGACGAGCCTTCGACGTCAAGATTGCCAATTCAAAAAGGAACTGCACCACAACAATCAACGTTCGATCTTCTTTCTGTAAAGAGTCATTCGACAGTGGAATTTTTAGCTGACGTCTGTCGGGAATTTCAAAAAATGAGTGTGTTTAAGGGCGTCTGGATACTCATCTGTTGAAGATCATCCAGAACTCCCCAAACCTCCTATCATAAGTCACTGTTTTAATTATTAACATGCTACTATCTTGATTTCAATAAGCCATTTTGTTTGCATTAACTACAAACGCCGGTGAACATATTGCATTTAGATGCGGTCAATAGGTTGTTTGCCATTACTTAAGAAATTTGCCAGCTTTTAAACACACATATGTCACTATTAATCTTGTGCAGCTCGTATTCTGGAATTGCCTGCAAGTCTTTACAACTTAACTACTCTTTATGCAGACTTGTATTTTTTTAAACGGGATTTTCAACGGCTTCTGTCGTTTGCTCAAAATACACTGATTTGATTTAAATGTACAAAGCTGGTGAATCTAACCAAGTGACTCAGAAATAGCATGGTACTGGATTAAACGTCCATGAAAAGGTGATGCGGCATTAAGCAGAAACACTTGACTTTGGCCTGCTTGTAAGCCCCTTTTCACCGCACCACCCGAGTCTTATGGTACGGCATCCCCTCATCCGGTCAAATTACCAGCCTCCCCTGCGCTGTCCATCCGGGGACAACGTGAGCGCACAGTTTCAACTTGTGCAATTATTCTGCAGTTGTAGTGTCCGAGGTATGACCCTTCCTCCACTGAAGTATTCAGACTCACAACAAGCACACAGTGACTATTCGAATATTAAAACAAAATAATAAGCTTCCAGAAAGGGTAGATAAAGCAGATACGAGGGGACACACCTGGGAGTCGAAAGGATTGATGCTGGATTTTATCAGCATGCTGGCAAGCACGAGGTATTTGAGGCACTGGGTACGTCGCGGAGAGCCGGACTCATCGTAGTTCTTGAAGGCTTCGAAGAAGTCAGTGTAGGACTTCTCGTACTCGCCCTCCCGCAGGTGCATCTTTCCACCACACTCTCGAATAATGCCCATGATGAGAGGATGCGGAATGGCCGATTTAATGTGCAACGACTGTTCATAGAGAGCCTTGAGTTTCTTATTGTTTTTCTGGGCAGTATACATTTGAATCTCGAGAGCGTAGATCTCCAGCAGTTGGGTGCCCTTCTTGAGGTCGTCCGCGCCCTCCTGTGTCTGGCAGGATTCGCGCAACTCCTTGATAATACGATGAAGCTGCATGTAGTCACCGCGCTCAAGGAAGAGTTTGCCCAGCTTAGTGTTTGTCTTAAACCAAAGACGTTCATTCTTTGCCTCCAGCAGGGCATCCAAAGTGGTGGTGTAGAAGTTCTGCAGGAGGTCTACCTGCTTCAGGGTGGAAACGTAGTCCAGGATTGAGTTGATGGACTTTTCAGAGTAGTTGCGAGTCACGGCCGATTTGATGTACGTCAACAGGGTTTTGTAGTCCTGCATCATCTCCTCGAAACGACCCAGTCGAAATTTGATTTTTATAATCTGCTTTAGAGCCCTAAAGCCCCAGTCACCCTTTGTGCCAGTGGCTTCGATTGCGAGCACTTTCTCGAACTCCGCTATCGCGGCGTTTGGATTGTCATCCTTGCGAGATTTGGCGCTGTAGTACTGGTTCTCCAGATCTACATCAGGCTCGGAATTGTCGTCCGAGGAGTACTCAACGGACAGGTCACCATCTTCAAACATGTCATCATCATCATTCATCGACATTTCAGTTGCCGTAAATTATTTGGCTGAAGAAGAAGAAAAGAGAATAAAGAGTACGATGAGGACAGGTAGAGCGAGCCATTCGGTGTAAAGACAAATAAATAACGGTAGGAATTGTCCCTTTTCCGTTCAAAAGCAAGCCACGTCAAATTTAGAGCCTGTGTAGTGAGCCAGGGCGTAGCATTCCCTACAAAAATCAACTATGCAAGCCATAGACGCGGTCCAAGGGAGTTTAAGAAGAAAGTGCAATAGTTCCCTTTGTCGTAATGATCAAGAAATATGACAAGTAGATTAACGTAGTCCAATTGGTGGTGAATACATGCACTGTCCAGCGTTCGGTTAATATTCCTGTATTTACTTAGTTCTTAGTGTGACCGTCAAAGGCGACGTCTACAGCGTCCTCCGCGGAGTGGACGCAGCGCAGGCGATTTGTGTATAAATTAGTTTAAAGTGAGGTGGGCTCACGTAGCCCCTACCACACTCTCTCCTCCCTTACCCACCCGGACCCTTTGACAGGACAATGTAAGGACAGTCGGTGAGCGTGGGTACGGTGACTGATGAACCCAAAACAATCCGTCTACGCGTGCCACACACGATCTAACTACAATAAGGATGACTCGGGCATTACCCTAACTGCTGGCCAACCGGCGCGTCGACAGATGGCAGGTAGTGGAACGGCCCTCGGCCAAGGTTAATTGCGAAATAAGACGGCTCTCGGACGGCAGTCGCGGACCAGCGACTACAATGTTACCAGGTCGCGAAGAGTTGAGGTTTGGCACGTCGAATGCCTTAGAAAAATGCCGTAAAGTCCGATGACGTCCCTTTCACATGGCGGGCGGGAACCGCTATTAGATAAATTTTCTTGCCACCGCTGCCAGGGCTCTTGAGCTAAAGCGGAAAAGGAGACAACCTCAAACAAACGATCTGAGTAGCTAGTGAGGACCCGTCCGTACTCAAAATCCCCATTAAAGCTCAAGAAAATGTCCGACTACAGTGCTTGCGACATCATCGAGGCCGGTTGGATCAGGCACGACCACAACGGTACCAATCATGTACTCGGACCGCACATCAGTGAGATGGATCAGTTGCAACCTGACTCAGTTCTCCAGTCACTACAAAACACTCCCGTCCCTTAGAAACCTTGAAGGCCACGATCCTTGAAGCGTCCTGATAGATCCAGGCACATCAGATTTATTATAGTTAAAAGTGGGCTTATGTCCCGCGATGACAGATTCCTCAGCGTCGGCCTCGCTCTCTTCCCTCGCACATGCTCCAGTCGACTGTCCGAGTCTGTCAGTGTTAAGCTGATGATGACATTTCGACCGTCGCATCCGACGATGTCCACCGTGCGCTTCACAGCAAGGTGAATAGGCACGGTGAATTGAGCGTGAATTAGTCGGTAGTGAATGTTGACTTGCGTCGCATCTATTGCACTCTCTCCCCCCTTAACTGAGCCCGGTGTCAAGGCAGAGTCAAGAAGACCGGATGCGGGGGGAGCGCAGATGGATGGCGCGGCCGAGCCCACACCTTGGCACTCCAATAAACACCATCTGGTCCACAAGAAAGTGATCTGAATTCTAACCAACAACAGCACAAAAATGAGTCAGGAAGACGAGAATGACCGGGTTACCATGCACATCTACCGGCAGGCAGCCAGGTGTCGGAGAACTGCCAGTGCATACCAGACTGCGAGGGCCAGGGCTTGCTGATCCTGGCATAGCAGACGCTTACAGACCTTTTGACCCTGCATTTCTCCGGGCCATCCCCCTTCAAGGCTGGGTAACCAAACAGTCGTCGACCGAGACGCACTAGCCATAAAGCTAGGTAATGCACAATGGACACCCAAGGTGCGTTTACAGCTCTCAGTTCTCCTAGAAACTGAATGAGAGTAGCCAGGGTCTGCAGCAGATTAAACTTACGATCATCCACACAACCGACTAGACACTTTTTCAAGTAAGTTAACTATCTCAGTCATCCAGTGTCCAGCATTACTTCCCTTAATCTGTGATTTGCTCTGTCAAGTATGATTTTAAACACTCATAAGGGATCTTTCAAGTTTTCAAACACGAAAAAACCGAGTTATTGCACTCCATTCGATGAAATTTCATATCCGGTAATGCTTCTAGTCAAGGTTATGAGGGGTTATGGTTTTTCCATACAGACATACAACTAGTATATTTCCTGACTGACCGAGTGTTGCGCTTTGGTCAAGGTACCTAGCATCCTCTTCCTCCTATACCAACCATCAGGCACCTTTGCCCGTTTCATGGTGTTCGTCAGCTCCGGTGGTTTGTTTTTGGTTACGGCGAAACTTAAGAACCAGTTTTTTTGCAAAAATAACAACCAAAAACACATGCGGTCAAAACACAGCTTCACTGAGGGGATACGATAAAAATGTCCACGTGAGTGCTGTACAGATCGAGATCTCCCGTCCCTACTGCGCAACCATACGCCTGCAGGCGGACAAAAATTGCGAATCAAGGGCCCCATGTGATGTCTCGTGCATAAAAAATCACTAATTACAACTAATAAATAGTGTATTGGTGGCAGATTCGGAGGTTAGCGCTAACCGTCGGACAGCCTCCCATTTTGCGGACCCCCTGCGTCCTCCCCAGTTACTCAACTGTGTGCGCCTTGGAGTGTCAGCTGACACTTTAGGAGATCACAGAAGTTATCGCAAGTCTGGAGAGGCCAGAGGTCTTTGGGAGAATAGCATACTATCTGAAATGCGCACGGTTGGTTGTGCTATCGCAAAACGATCGCTGCAGGAGAGGAAAACGCATCGATCGAGGCGGTGGCGTCTTGCCCTTTCTTCATGACGTAGAAGACCGGTGGCATGATGTAGTATGTAAACTACCGCTGGGGCCAACTATAGTCAATGACCGATCTCATGAAACGTCAGCCAAAATTCTGGAATGCGCCTTTGATAAGAAAGAACTACTTACAGGAGGATGGGCGTAGGGACGGTGATTTGTATACGATGTACTTTATAGTGGTAGTGGACCTGCATAGTATCTGCCGCACTCTTTCCCCCTCTACCACCTGAGCCTGGTATCATGACAGAGTCAAGAAGACCGGAAGCGGGATCGGGCACAGTGGCTGGCGCCTAGTGAGTCTGCACGTAGGCGTGCCGCCACGTTCATCCCAATAACGTTTGTCATGCCCTGATCTGGCTTCCGTGTTTGACAAACAGACCTACCACGTGGTCCATTTTAGGGGGTTACTTATGAAGTGCACATTGTAAAATTTAGTGCGTCCTATATGGCATCTTCTTAATGGCTTAGAGTAATGTGTTCCCTTACATGGGCACACCGCTCCTAAACTGCAAACCCTTAGCGCATATGCAACGGTAGATTCTGGAATCGGGAACTTTTAAGACCAAAAATAACCCTTCTTCGAGGATATAATGTAAAGAAGTTATTTTCTGCCAAATAGCTGCAAGAAGGCATATTTTGACCGCAATCCCTATAAAATGTACTTGAATCTATACAGGAATCAAGAGTCAATGGAAGAATCATACCACTTAAGTAAACTTGCTTTACCAAATCCGGCTTTTCCACTCAACCAAAAATAAGTGTGTTTAAAAGTTCGCATCCTGCCGTGAATGAAATATCTTGGCATGGTGTTGTAAGATGATCAAGTATGATCGTTTTAAAAACACCGTGGCAGCCTTCGAGTTCATACATCCTGGCACATCTTGGACAAGGATAGGGTCGTTACATGACTAATCCAGCTAATGACACGAGTTCGATCTACCATTTAAGTTCCTAAGCATAAATCCTCATGTGTAACAATCATAAGTAACCTTTCGAGATTCACTCGCGCGTAATGTCATCACACTAGTCCCCTGCAACTGCAGCACTAACTGAAATGTTGACTATGGACACCAATAGTTAACGATCAACAGGGTGAAGAATACTAAATGTTTTGGGTAATAAGTGGCGTCACGAAAAAGTGTCTTCGAAGCCGAACTTATGTAGAAATTGAACTGCGAATTCTCTTCACTAGGCTTAACCTCGAAGAGGAGGGCCACTACTAGAACCTAAGAACTATAGACAATGGCGTGAAGGCTTGGCCATCTTGCAGGTCGGCTTGAGGAAACCGAACGTTGGTGATACATGCCTCTCGTGGCTCTAAACTAGAGCAACAGCCCCGAAATCTTAAAGAAACCATAAAATTTGAAAATATTGATAATTAGAAAGTTAACCTGCGAAACATTTCGAAATAAAAGTGCCTGAAAGGCTATGAACATAATTAATACAGGAAAAGAATTAGTTTGTATTATAAATATTGTCCCAAAGGCAACATTAGTCCTCGAAAAGTTATATGTGACCCAGGCAGTCATCATCAGAACCGAGGAACCTGGAGTGAGCTATATTACGCAGACTGGAAATGTCCATTTACAACGTGTACTTATGCAACGCGTTCAGAATCTAAATGAAACAAAGCAAGAGTGCATTTTTGCGGTCGAACCTAAAATAAACTCACGGTTACGGCGCTTCTAATCAACAATACAACAAGGGTCCGATTTCCCGACCATGGGGCGCTACGGAGTAGATAGATTCCGGTAACCAATAAATCGCATTTGTATATAGACATACCGGAAGTACGGGAATACACCGCAAAACTAGAAACACAATGGCAAGATTCAGCACAAAATGAAAGTAATTTGTACACAATTAAATGTTAGATTGACAAAAGGCCCCGCTAATTCAAAAAGTGGCGTATGCATGTGACTCCGATAACACTACTTTAGTTAGTCAATGGTAAAGCCCTAGCAACTCGGATTTGCGTGGTAACTCACCTGTTACTCCTTTGGTTGGCGGAGACAGCACCACCTGCTAAAGTAACTAATCCACGCTGTCGCGCAATGCACCACACAACAGATAGGGCTGTTAAAACGGATTAGAGACACTTGGTGGGGATCGGAGATAGAGTCGGTGTAAACACGTGTCGGCGACGACCGGTTTCCCTTCCTT